TTTCAAATCTGCGGGGGAGGGGGGTTGTTTGTGCTCTTTCTTTTGGTGGTGTTCGCTCTTGGGACTAAGAGGGACCGGACATCAATCCATGCTCTCCAAATCGTTCTGAACAAGTCTCTCATATTTCAAACTTGTAAGTAACAGCCAGGCAAGGCATGTTAGTTTATCTTTGTTTTCTCAACTTGTGAATGTTCCCTTTGCTAGAGGGAGGTTTATCCCTGTTTTGTTGTAACTTTGAAACTAAGGCTAGGGGGGTTCCTCTGGGCTCTTTGAAGCTGATTACCATGTAAAGTTATTTTCCATCCTGATTTTACAGAGATGATTTTTACCTTTTCTTTTTAATACAATCCTTTTTTTAAGAACCTGACTGATTTTTCCATTGTCCAAAGACCCAGGGGTTTGGGTCTTTGATCACTTTGTAACCAGTTGGTTAGGATATTATTCTCAAGCCTCCCCAGGAAAGGGGGTGTAGGGGCTTGGGAGGATATTTTGGGGGAAGAGGAACTCCAAGTGGCCCTTTTCCTGTTTCTTGTTAAATCACTTGGTGGTGGCAGCGTACCAGGTTTTAACCTAAGCTGATAGAAATAAGCTTAGGGGGCTTTCATGCGGGTCCCCACATCTGTACCCTAGAGTTCAGAGTGGGGAAGGAACCCTGACAATGTCAAACCGACCTGATAGCTTTCTTTGACAGGGTAACAAGCCTTGTGGATAGGGGGGGAAGCGGTAGATGTGGTATATCTTGACTTTAGTAAAGCTTTTGACACGGTCTCGCATGACCTTCTCATAAACAAACTAGGGAAATGCAACCTAGATGGAGCTACTATAAGGTGGATGCATAAATGGTTGGAAAATCGTTCCCAGGGAGTAGTTATCAGTGGTTCACAGTCATACTGCAAGGGCACAATGAGTGGGGTCCCTCAGGGATCGGTTCTGTTCAGTATCTTCATCAATGATTTAGATAATGGCATAGAGAGTACACTTATAAAGTTTGCGGACGATACCAAGCTGGGGGGGGGTTGCAAGTACTTTGGAGGCTAGGATAAAAATTCAAAATGATCTGAACAAACTGGAGAAATGGACTGAAGTAAATAGTATGAAATTCAATAAGGACAAATACAAAGGACTCCACTTAGGAAGGAACAATCAGTTGCACACATACAAAATGGGAAATGACTGCCTAGGAAGGAGTACTGCAGAAAGGGATCTGGTGTCATAGTGTATCACAAGCTAAATATGAGTCAACAGTGTAACGCTGTTGCAAAAAAAGCAAACATCATTCTGGGATGTATTAACAGGAGTGTTGTAAGCAAGACACAAGAAGTAATTCTTCCGCTCTATTCTTCACTGATTAGGCCTCAACTGGAGTATTGTGCCCCGTTCTGGGCACCACATTTCAGGAAAGACGTGGACAAATTAGAGAAAGTCCAGAGAAGAGCAACAAAAATGATTAAAGGTCTAGAAAACATGAGCTATGAGGGAAGATTGAAAAAACTGGGTTTGTTTAGTCTGGAGAAGAGAAGACCAAGTGGGGACATAACAGTTTTCAAGTACATAAAAGGTTGTTACAAGGAGGAGGGAGAAAATTGTTCTTCTTAACCTCTGAGGATAGGCCAAGAAGCAATGGGCTTAAATTGCAGCAAGGGCGGTTTAGGTTGGACATATTAGGAAAACCACCCTGACAGTTAGGAAGTTTAAGCACTGGAATAAATTGCCTAGGGAGGTTGTGGAATCTCCATCATTGGGGATTTTTAAGAGCAGGTTGGACAAACCCCTGTCAGGGATGGTCTAAATAATAGTCCTGCCTTGAGTGCAGGGGACTGGACTAGATCTCTCCAGGTCCCTTCCAGTTCTACGATGCTATGTGCATGGCGGTGTGTGTTCAGGGCGGTGAGGGCGTGTGCAGCAGTCGGTGCATGTGTTAGCATGTGCAGGACCGTGTAGGTGTGTGCAGGAGTTAGTGTGCGCAAAGTGCACAGGACTGTGTGTGTGTTTGCATGTGCAGCATGGTGTATGTGCACATGTACAGCAGTGTCTGTGTGTGTGTGTGTGCGCAGGGCACTCTGTTGTGTGTCTGTGCACGTGTGCAGCAGTCAGTGTGTCTGTGCACGTGCAAGCGCAGGGGCTGTGTATGTGCAGGGCTCTGTGTGCCGCAGTTGGGGTGTGTGCGTGCGCCTCTGCGTGCAGAGCTCTGGTGTGTGTGTGCGCAGCAGTCTGTGCGTGTGTGCAGGGCTCTGTGTGTGCAGCAGTTGGGGGGATGCATGCACAGGGCACTCTGTCTCTGTGTGCACGCACATGTACAGCAGTCTGTCTCTGTGTGTGTGCTCAGCAGTCGTGTTTCTGTGCCTAGGTGCATGGCTCTGTGTGTGTGTGTACGGCTCCGTGTGTGTGCAGCAGTCGGTGTCTCTATGCCTGGGTGCAGGGCTGTGTGTGTACAGCGGTCAGTGTGTGTGCCTGCAACAGTCAGCGTCTCTGTGTGTGTGTCTATGTATGCAGGACTGGATGTGTGCAGGGCACTGTGTTTGCAGCAGTCAGGGCATTTGTCTGTGCAAGACTGAGTGTGTGTGCACATGTGCGGCACTCGGTGTGTGTGTGCAGGGCTCAGTATGTGCAGCAGTCAGTGTGTGCATGTGCAGGTCTGTGAGTGTGCAGCAGTTGGTGGGTGTGTGTATGCAGTTCTCTATATGTGCAGCAGGGCTGTGTGTGAGAGAGAGAGCGAGCAGGGCTGTGTGTGTGTGTGTGTGTGTGTGTGTGAGAGAGAGAGAGAGAGAGAGAAAGAGAGAGCGAGCAGGGCTGTGTGTGTGTGTGTGTGTGTGAGAGAGAGAGAGAGAGAGAGAGAGAGAAAGAGAGAGAGAGGC